TGGAGACGAAAACATATATTATTGCTTCTTGCTGGGCTGGTTACTCGGAGATGTCGTTTTAGGCTCCCCGGTTCAGTTGGTTGTCTGTCGTTTTTCTTTCCCATGTCGGAAAAAACGTAATTTGCTTAAAATTTAAAGCACGTATCGTTTAAACATTGTGTAAAATCTCTAACGGAATATTTGAGTTTCTATGCTCACAAAGTCCCTTCTATGCAGAACATGCTTTAAAGTTGGATAGATTTCGAAAGAACAACTAACTGATGGTTTAAAAGGTATGATCTCAACCCAAGTGATGGTTTAAAAGTTATAATCTCATGATGGTTAAACGAGATGCCTACATGACAACTACAGTCATAAATACTCGATAACAACTCAATGGCGTACTCGAGAGATGCTCGATAGAAGCACAGTGCATTAATGGATCAAAGAATTTTGATAATATAATATATAATAAAAATTAAATGAAGAATATCCTCTGATCAAATATTATCGTCTTATTTCATTTCTTGGATGAGGGTTATACTCTGTATTTCTTTTTCATTCGGATGGATCTCAAAGAACATCATTCAAATCAACCGCCCTATGCATCGAAGGAGCAGCATTAGGTTAGGGAATACTGCGAGAATCGTTATCACTACTATTGTTTCCGAATGTTAGTGCTTTTTGTTTGTGGCGTTCCAGTCTTTTTGGAGGTTCAAAATTTTGAAGTCAAAGAGGTTCATGATTCTTGAATGGGATGGGCTCTTACTTGGGTTCTTAAATGGGCTTTCATTACTTTCTCATTGAGAACCAAACATTTTAGTTTTATACAAAATATTTGGATAAAAAGTTGATTACAGACAATTTTAATTGATGCTATACGAAAACTGTCTTTAAAGACACCAATACAAAAAGATATTTTTTTTTTTGCTTACTCAGCGGTTGATGCTATTGTAAATGCACACAAGACGGAGTCCAGGATCACCCATGGGTGTAGAGTGCCCATCTTCTATAGCGTGTTTATAAGAGTAAATTTATGTTGGTTAAGTAATAAAATTCATGACTTAACTAAGGAGCCATTTATCAAATGCTTACTTGGGTAAGTAATTATCAAGTCATATTACTTTACCGGATGAATATGGTAAGGACCAAGAATATTACCCGGTAAGAGCGAGACAAGGACCGAGATTCTTACCCGGTAAGAAAGGGCGACGACTCTTACCACGGTAAACACTTAGCGGGTAAATTGTTGCATATGATATCGTTTTGGTAGACTAAAATCTTACTCGGTAAGTAAATGATAGTGTTAGATTTTACCAGGTAAGTGTTTGGTAAACGACCCCTTACTTTTGTTCTTTATCATTTCGATTTCAATTTTTATTGTCAAGTAACCGGTCCAGAAGAGAAAAGATGGAACAAAAAGAGGCGGAAAACTAAAAGAACATACTTTCCAAATAATTAAGAAATAAAAACCTCACGACCACAAATTCCATATCACGATACTTTCTAGCAATCATGTAAAAACACGTCATCAAGAGAAAAAATTAATATAAATTAAAGGGAAAATGACAAAACTAACCACTTTATACAACTCTCTTACACAAAATAACCAGTTTTTAGGGGTTTTACAAAACTAACCACACGGATCTCCCCCGGGGGCGATCCGTACTAGTGGGGGGCGATCCTGCCTTTTTCTTAGAAATTTTTTTTTAAAATTTCTTTTTTTCCACTTGGGGCGGGCCACGTCATCGGATCGCCCCCGGGGGCGATCCAGACTTTTTTTCCTTTTTTTGTAATACCAATTTCACTATAAATACCAACCTCCTATTTCATAATTTTTCACACTTTCCCTTTCATTTCTTTTCTCATATATTCTATCTCACAACCCTTAACCCATTAAACACAATAAACCATCACAAAACATGAAATCACGTCAAAGTGATGATGTTTGTGTGTATCTTCGAAGTGGCGGTAACATTTATATATATAGAGATGCATTACGTAAAAAAAGCGATATAAACGGTACAAAAATTGAAACTTCGTATTTTATACGTATATATGCGTACGGGTTTTAACACGTACGCATATTTACGTATATTCATGTACGTTTTACGTACGTATTTTTAACGTATATATGCGTACGGGNTGCGTACGGGTTTTAACACGTACGCATATTTACGTATATTCATGTACGTTTTACGTACGTATTTTTAACGTATATATGCGTACGGGTTTTAACACATACGCATATTTACTATCTTCACGTACGTTTTACGTACGTATTTTATACGTATATATGTGTACGGGTTAAAACCCTTACGCATATTTACGTATTTTCACGTATGTATGTACGTATATATGTGTACGTATGTATATACGTATATACATATACCTACTTACATTTACGTAAAAAAAGCAATATAAATTGCGGTAACGTGTATATATATATATATATAGATGCATAACGTAAAAAAAACGATATAAATTGTGGTAACGTATATATATAAAGAGATGCATAACGTAAAAAAAGCGATATAAATTGCGTTAACATATATATATATATATATATATATATATAGAGAGAGAGAGAGAGAGAGATGCATTACGTAAAAAAAGCGATATAAACGGTACAAAAATTGAAAATTCGTATTTTAATGTATATATGCGTACGGGTTTTAACACGTACGTATATTTACGTATATTCACGTACGTTTTACGTACGTATTTTTAACGTATATATGCGTACGGCCTTTAACCGCCACTTCAAAGATACATACAAACATCATCACTTTGACGTAATTTCATGTTTTGTGATGATTGATTGTGTTTAATGGGTTAAAAGTTGTGAGAGTAGAATATATGAGAAGAGAAATGAAAGGGAAGATGTGAAAAATTATGAAATAGGAGGTTGATATTTATAGTGAAATTGGTATTAAAAAAAGAGAAAAAAATTAAAAGAAATCTGATGACGTGGCTCGCCCCAAGTGGAAAAAAAAGAAATTTTAAAAAAAAAATTCTAAGAAAAATGCCGGATCGCCCCCCACTAGTACGGATCGCCCCCGGGGGAGATCCATGTGGTTAGTTTTGTAAAACCCTTAAAAACTAGTTATTTTGTGTAAGAGGGTTATATAAAGTGGTTATTTTCACCATTTTCCCTAAATTAAATACATTTATATTAAATATAGTAAATGGTATTCCCAGTTCGGGTAACCGGACCATTAAATGTGAACCGTACCATTAAATGGATACCTAGGTAACCGGACCAAAATAAAGCGGGTACCCGTTGTTCGGTTAACAGTTACCTAAATCTATAAATAAATTATCATTTACAATATAAAAGACTAAAATAGAAAATTTAAACCAGTTACATACCAACTAAAAAATAATAATTCAAATGTTACAAATTAAAATAATTTTAACTGTTTAAAATATCAATTCTTCGATTATGTTGACTCATTCACGACCTCATACCACCAAATTTAATAAACCATTATAATAGTTGATACAATCTAGAGCAAGTTTGATTCAAGTCATTACCTGTAATTGCTTATATAATTCTAAACCGGAATGGACCCATGAATAACTTGTTCTTTGATTTTCGATTGTTTCAGTTTCGTAGCAAACAATTTGTCTCGATTTTAACAAACGACCCTAATAAATATATATTTTTTAACCATAAGGGTGATGTCCGACTGGTTTAATCTTGGGTATCAAAGGTCAAAAGTGAGCGGAGGTCTCAGGTTCGAGTCCAAAGAAGAATAAAAAATCCCCTTGTGATCACGCAGGTTCAAATGCGGTGACTCCAAGCTATCAGCAAAATGGATGGTCATTCTAAGATTAATCGGCTTGCGTATCGGGTTGGATATCCAGGTTAATAAAAAATTATATGTTTTTTGCGCGACTTTATTTATAATCAAGTATTACAAGTGTTATTTTTGTAATTAAGAAAAAAGTAAACATATATATTTTTAAATTATTAAATATTAAAACATGATTTTTGAATTAGGGAGTCGTTACAACAGGAACTACTCAATTTTCAAACTAGAATTCAAAAAGGATTTTAAAAAAAAGAGAGAATCTTTAGAATATTCATTTTTCTCGTATAAATTGTTCTCGAGAAATAAGGGGTTATTTCTTTGCAAAATTGTGTTCGATTTTATAAGTGGCAATTCTGTCAAGATCTCTTCGTTAAATCGGTTCACATCTGAAATCTAACAATTTATCCTTCAACAAGTTTAGTAACGAGCATAACGGCCCTATTGTTCCGACGGAGAGAGGAACCTATGATTAGCTTTTCGGAAAATTTTCAAACGAACTCACATTGGATTTAGGGATAATCAGGCTTGAACTGATTTATCTCTATGATTTATTCAAATATCACTATATCTATAAGTATCACGTACATCACTTGCGAACCCAACTAAAAGACAAAAAAAAAATCAGATTTGACCCAGGTCCACAATTGCCACGACCACGTCCACAAGGCCAGGTCTGTAATTGCGATGGTCAGGTCTACAATGTGAATTTTTTTAGCTAGGTTCACAAGAGGATATAATTCGTGGGAAATGAGAGGAAAAAAGAAAGAGAAGGTTCTGCTGAGACTTAAGTTCCCTTGTCGAAGCTCTCCGAACCTGAAGTAGAAGAAGGAAGCAACCGGAGAGAGCTTCGTTTAAGGACAGGAACAAGGTTAGACAGAGGAGAGAGTTAGAGTGACTCGTTATAAAAACAGGTGCTATTGTACTCGCACCTCCCACTTTGTCACGTATACTACGAAGGCAGCAGACCTTATAGCTATGACTGCGGATTCAAGTTTCCGCTACAAAGCAAAGAGGTTTGGAAGCTTTCATTTGTCTGAGATGTGCCGGTGGATAGGGCCTTATCTATGTGATTCGCTGCGTTTGCTTACGTCTATCGGTGGATTCTATTGCCTGTCAGTTAGCGTAACTTTTACGGTAGTACAAAACGCTACACGTTATTTCTTTCTAGAACATAGCCGTCGTAGTGATACTTGGATAAATCAGAAAGAGAAATGGTTACAAAACCAATTTATTAAGATGAGTGGTTATCCTGAAAAAAATTAATTCAGAAAAAATGTTAAAAGATTTTCTTGAAAATCCATTTTTGTCTGCTCATCTCTCTCCATTCCAAGCCTCCTGGACTGAAGCCAAAACTGCGACGTTCCGGCCAAAAACTTCACCTTCTGTGCCGGACTCAGTATCTCCAACACTTCTCCGGCGGTATGTTGCCGGAGATAATCAGCATCTTTCATCACAGCCACCATCGCCGCCTTCAACTGCTCCACTGCTTTTTCCATCTCAGACACCTCACCGTCGACCAAACTCGCTTCCCGTTTCACCAACCCACAGAACGGCGGTGCCGCCACACTCTCCTGTACATTCGCCATAGCTCGCATAATCTGTCTCTCCATCCGCCGTGTCTCCTCTCTCACGACCGCAATCCTTCGCTTTTGTTCTTCGTTCAAATCAACACCCACCGTCTCCTTCACTAACTGAAACGCCATCGACGGTTTAAACCCAGTTGCCCATAAAAGTGTGCGCTCATAAGAACTGAACCAAGGTGGAGAAAACATGATGAACACATCGGATTCAGCTGCTTTGCTTTTCTCCTGGTAGTACTCCTGGTAATGGCCCAACACCTGTTCGACCAAATACTTCAGTGAATCTTCTTCTGTATCATTTTGATGGGTTAGCAGTTTGTCAAGATAAATCTTGTGTTGAGCTTCCCAACTCACAAAAAATTCAGAAAATGATCTCCCAATTGGCTGACCCTCGTTAGCCATTGTTAATCCAATTAGGATCAAACCCAAGAGGTAAGGATGTTCTTAAATACAGAAGCATTTGGATTAATTTTTTTGACAGGTGTTCGTGGGTCAGTTTAACCATCCATTCTTAGCAGCTAAGAATGATCTGTGTGTTTGGCGGTTGAGAGATTTGGAGGGTTTTTTTATTTTCCGATATGACGGAAAAGAAGATTCATGGAAGTAAACAATGGCGGTTTGAAAATGCCAAGCGATAGGAAAGATGACGACTCTTTACAAATGTACTTTTTTTAGTCAATACTCATAGTAGTCAACGTCCATATTATAATATGTATAGAGTAATGTTTTCTTTTTACGAGGAGATATTGGTTTTCTTCCGCCAAAGACGGTGATTTGTCTTGATCCGGTGGAGAACCCGGTTCACTCGATCCTAATAAAAATAGGGATTCTTTGCTAAAACGGGTCTCAGGGCTATGGCCGAAGATTCCCGGTAGAATCAAATTAAATAATGTTATTTATGGGGTTTGACTGTGGATTGATAGAAGTTTAACCGGAGACGTGATGTTAATCCCCGTATCTGCCGAAGACCGGGGCCGGGAGATGTTACTACAAACCAGGGCCGGGGCAGGGGATTACAAAACCCGCCCCATCCCCGTCCTGTTGCCATGCCTACTCCTACATCGAAGGATCAATATCTATTAATTTCTTATTGGTCGGGGTTTTCACCGAGTGTGATCGACTCATTGTTTGTCGGTAGGTTAATTTTTAAATCAATAACTTAAGTAAAATTTTATAATGATAGTTTTTATAGGAGGATCTCCGATGCAAGTTATTATGTGTAGATTTTTAGAGGAACCATCGTTATAAGAACCTTATTTCGTTTGAGCTGTATAAAAACCTTTATTTTACTTTAAATTTGGTGTAAAGCGATTTTTCTGTTAGTTTTTTATATATTTTATTGACTTTAAAACACCATGGGTTCATATGGCTGTGTTTGGTACATGGGACGGGACAGGGCAGGACGGAGCAAAACTCACTGTCCCATGTTTGGTGTAGCATGGGACAGAACAAGAACTCATTGTCTCACGTTTGGCGCGACAAGGGACAGGGACAAGAACTGGGACAAGATGGAACAACATGGAACAAAAGAGGTTTTTTCTTGTTCCACCAAAATAGGTGGAACAAGATAGGATAAGAATGTAACAGAAACTAAGATACTACTAATCTACCCTAGTTAGATATATAACCTTAATATTGTATTTGTTTTTATGGTCATCACCGCTAATTTTGGCCGCCGCCGCCACTACCGGCGGTCACCGACGGCCACCTCCACCTCCTATTCCACTACAACAACATCCTCCACCGCCTTCACAACCACCGTCCACCAAGTCCCTTGCCACCTCTACCATAGTCGACCACCGACCACTAGGGGTGTTCGCGGTCCGGTTTGGGCGGTTTAACCCCACAAAACACAAACCACACCATAATGGCGGTTTATAAAATTTTCAAACCGAGCGGTTTGACATCAAGTCCCCAGACCGGTCAAACCAGACCACGAAAAGGCGGTCTGGTCTGACCAGTTTAGGCGGTTTGTGCCTTTAATGGACTTTAAATATTAAACTTAAAAAACATATATAATTTAATTTTAACGAAACAAAATATCTAAACAAATAATTGAAATAATTAAGCAGCTCTTGAGTACAAAGTCGAAGCAATCCAAAGTACAAACAAATAAATATATAACATATTGGAAAACATATAAATTAACAAAGTTACAACTCTACTGTGAATATTGAGTAACAAAATCCACGACTTCACAACCTTCAATGGTTCAATTCTTGAGTCTTGAGTTCTTGACCAAACAAAATAGAAGCCAAATCTAAGTTGGTTGAATCACTTGGTTGATGTCTTGATGATGTACGCCGAAATCAAACCATGGATTAGAAAGATCAATAGACTGATGGAGTTCTTGAGAGATTTCAAAATTTGGAGACCGCCAATATCAAATGTGTCGATATGTTCAATGGTTTAATGGTTTTAGTGTTCGATTTTGATTATGTTAGATATTAGACTTAGGGATATATTTAGGTCATAGCCAATAAGTTAAAAAAGTTGGGTTTGCTAATATTAAAATAGATAAATAAATAAATAAATATATATATATATATATATATATATATATATATACACGTATTTGGCAGTCGGTTTGGTCCAAACCGCCCAAAAAATGTTCCAAACCGCAGACCGGACCGGACCGCCCGGTTTTGCTATTTTCCAAACCAGGCCGAACCGCCAGACCGCTCAAACCGCTAAAAACGGTCCGGTTTGACTTGGTTCGGCCAGTTTGAACGGTCCAACGGTTTTTTTGAACACCCCTACCGACCACCACCGTCCACTGCCACCACCATATCGCCGTTCGCCACCTTCAACTTCTCCTCTACTGCAACAACCTCCTCTACGTCCTTCACGACCACCATCGGCCACCACCATTCATTGCCACCTCACCTCCACCATAACCACCACCACCACTATCTTCACTACATCAACCACAACTACCTCCTCCACCATTGTCAACCGCCACCACCACCACAATCTACCATCTTCATGTCATCTATAATCACCGTCGTCCACCAAGCATCGCTGCCTCTACCTCCATAACCACTGTCGGCCACCGACCACCATCGCACGTTGCCATACTACCGTCAGCCACCGACCACCACCGCCCGTTGCCACTACTATCGTCGGCCACCACCACCTCTACCATGACCAAAACCACCTCCTCCACCACCACTACTACACTACTAGAAAACTGGGCATTTCCGGCGGAATTTCCGGCGGACAAATTCCGCCGGAAATTTTCCGGCGGATTTCCGGCGGAACTTTAAAAAGTCAAATTTTGTTGACTTCCGCCGGATAACCGCCGGAAATCCGCCGGAAAATTTAAACCGGTTAGATTTCCGGCGGATTTCCGGTGGATTTCCGGCGGATTTATTAATTAAGGGTTAATTAATCTTTAAAAACTAATTAATATATGAAAAAAAGAAGAAAAAGATTTTACCGGCGGATTACCGGCGGATTCATCCGCCGGAAACGTTTCAAAATTCAAAAAAAATAAATCCGCCGGAAATCCGCCGGAAATAGTTTTAGAAAAATAATTTCAAAAAAATTAAAAAAAGAACCTTTTAGAAAAATAA